TTGCTAAGGGTAGTTACTGGTTTTTCTATATAATTTGGGCTGTTAGGTCTGTTATGGCTTTTAATTTGGAACTGCCCCACTTTGGTAAAAATATCAGGAGGCATTGTGCTGGGTGGAGCAAAGGGACACTGACTGTGACTGGCCCTACATGTGGATTGATGATGAAACACAAAGAAGACCCTTACCTCCTCATCCTCTTCCTCCTCTGTGTGGTTGTACGAAAGCCAGCCAAGATTTGTCCCTTATTATATGACAACATGAAACCCCTTCAAGTTCTCCTTTGGAACCATATTTAAGTTGTAGTGTATGTGGTGATAATGAATCATGGGGGAGGTGCAAATTTGAACTGCTTTTTTCCTTGTCATGTGCTTTTCACAAATTCTTTGCCCATGTTGTTTAAAAACAAAAAATTGATGCCAGCAGGCCATAATTAACAAACAGTCCAGCAATGACGAACCATGCACATGTGTAGTAGAAGGAAAAAGCCATGATGAAGAAACAAAACTCTTTCAAGTTTGCAGTTATTTATTGTGAACACTGAGTGAAAATATTTTTAGAGCATTAAGGAAGAGTGCCTTTGCATGTGCTTTAAATATAGTGAATCATAAAATATTTTTAGCATGAAAAATGAGCAGATGTCGCATGGCAGTATTTCAGAAGTAGTGGCCTTTGGTATAAATGGCTATAGGATGTATATGAAAGCAGATGTGTAGGGTCTCACTTCTCTACCACCTATGAAGAGACCTTCACATTTTCCTACCAATTATACAAGTATGGTGGGTATAGATCTGCCATTAAGTGTTGTTTCACAGAGGTGTAACAGGGAAGCAGGGTGAAGAGACCAGTGTAGAAATAACAAGACATGGTAGTAGCGCGATTGGTAGCACTGTAGTTGATGGGGGTGAGTGTATAGCATATGGGTAGAAATGCATAGGTAATTTATGGCTGATGATGACAATTCTTTTATTTAAACATAAGCATAAAAACTACATAGTTTTGATCTTTGCCGTGAAAAAAGTTCAGGATAAAGTAGCCCTCAGGAACCAGTCCTGCTTATATTAAAGTCAACAAAAGACTCCCTTTGGCCTCAGTGGCAGCTTTAACAGAAGTTGGATGGAGGCCCTAACCTCTGCTCCCAAATTCATTCCATTTAGTGGGTGGTGTTTAATGTTATACAGAGCATTTTCTACAAACTGATCAGGTTTGTAGAAGGGAAACTTCTAGGGAAAAGTCAGGAGCACCAAATAAGTAACTTAAGATTCTGAAGGTTACGTACTCTACTGTATTGAGATACAATATGGGCTCTGATTCAGCATAAAACTGCTGTATCGTATCTTGACATTTAATGTGGACCACAGAGAGAAAAAGGGAATCTTGATACAGACATTTTTGCTGCATCCTAAATACAAAAACTTAATTTTTTTTTATGTAGCTCACAAGAAATCTGTTGTTAAGGCCGTATCTTTTACAAAGGCAGACAAAGTTGTTTTAGTAAATACATGGCTACAACACCCTGGTTATCTTTTACAATCCTTTTCCTCACACATTATTTTGGGTTGTATTATTGTTCTTAGCTGCCATAGATAATTCATCCTGACGCAAAGCTTTTGTGAATCCACTCTTAACCCGATGATTTGCTGTTTTATTAGAATGTATTCTCGGGCAGTAACAGGCAATTGAGATATTAAAGGAGTCCTAGGCTACAAACAGACAGCACCTTTTTCCTGGGAGAAAATATTTTCTATCAGGTCAAAACGTAATTGTTGAGATATCTATGTTTGTTGTTCCGAAACAAACCCTGAAAGGGTTTGCAGGAGAAGTGCTAACACTTTGCCCCAGGATGTTGTGATCTGAATGGTTGTCTCAGGTTTACATCATTGGAACAGTGGAAGAAAAGTGGCAGTGCATTCAGCCACTCACTAAACCTTGATTGGAAATGTGATGGATGTGTGCTAGGGCTGTGCAAAGCTTTGGTCCCTGATTCGATTCAGCGGAGATTCAGCTTGATTCGGTGGCCGAATCTCTGAATCTGAATAGAATCAGAGGACCCTTTAATCTCTCTGAATCGAATCGGAACCCTCCAAATTGATTCAGAGATTCAGACATAGAGACAGCTTTAAATGTTTTTTCTACATACCCCTAGGTAGCAGGGGCTCCTGAATGCTGTGATTCTGGGGTGCATGGAGTGTCCCACAGAGGTGCGGGAGGCTCCCCAGTGTGCTCCACAGCAGACCCAGAAGTGGACCAGATGTCCTTCAGGGAGCATGCTGGGGCCCCCCCCCCCACCTCCCTGGCTCAGTGACTGGTGCCTCCTGGGTCTGGGAGGGGGGACACCTGCGGTCACCCTGTGGCTGATCGCTGAACTGGGAAGGAGCAGGGGTGCCCTCCAGTGCGCTCCCTGACAGACCTGGTAGTAGACCAGAAGTACTTCCAGTCCACTTCTGGGTTCACTGCTGAGCACATGGAGGGCCCCCGCCGCACTCCTGTGGGACACTCCAAGTACCCTAGCATCGCAGCAATCACAAGCCATGCCTGCTATGTCAAGGTATGTAGAAAAAATGTTTAAAGCTGTCTGCGGTCACCCTGTGGCTGATCGCTGAACTGGGAAGGAGCAGGGGTGCCCTCCAGTGCGCTCCCTGACAGACCTGGTAGTAGACCAGAAGTACTTCCAGTCCACTTCTGGGTTCACTGCTGAGCACATGGAGGGCCCCCGCCGCACTCCTGTGGGACACTCCAAGTACCCTAGCATCGCAGCAATCACAAGCCATGCCTGCTATGTCAAGGTATGTAGAAAAAATGTTTAAAGCTGTGTCTGTGTCCAAATCATTGATTCTCCGAATCAGCATCGAATGTTCAGATTTTGATTAGGTCAAATCGAATCAGGGACAGTGATCCAAATCAACGAATCAAATCACTGTCCCTGATTTGGGCCAAATCCAAATCGAATAGGGCCTGCTTCGCACACCTGTAATGTGTATACCGATCTCATGACTTTTCTCAACCTTTTCTGTACCTTTTCACTGGGTGGTTTAAATCATTTTCAGAATTAACCGCTGTGGAATATTTAATATAGGAGAAATCAGAAACTTAATTTTTTATATATGTATGTTCTTTTTACTGAATATTTTGATATTAAAATTTCCTTAAAGGGTTGCTGTTCCCTCTTCCTTAGACTTACAGTTTTTGTACTTGGGAACCTTCTGGTTTCATAAGTACCAACTCCATAGGTGCTTCAGGGCTCAAACATGCACTGAAAAAAATCAACAGGTGCTCAGCACCCATGAGCCATGACTGTTTTGGTTTTACATGTTAGATCTCCCTGTGGCTATTTCCAGACTTTAGAAAAAAACCCAAAACGTGCTTTACCAGAAGAAGCAGTGCGTTACTTCAACTCAGCTCGGCAGTATCTATAAAGACTGGGAGCTTCAGCAGAGCTTTTTGGCACTTTTAGCTAAAGCTGATTCAATCAGCTATTAAAGTAAAGCTCCTTTTTTAATGCCCCATCCCCCCTCACAGAAAAGCACCCACTGGCAAAAACCAAAGTAAGCACCTATGTATGGTTTAATTAAGAACCTTATGACAGTGCACCTGCAGCGCTTGCCACTTTAAGGGTTGAGTCAGGCAGCCAGCAGGTGCTTGATTGTGGTAGCCTTTTTGGAACACTGGCTGCCTATAGAAACACAGACGTTTGCTGCTGCTGGCGCAGGCAGAATCATCGCCTGGCTGAGCTGCATGGAACATCTAGCAGGTAGGAGCTGGAGGCTCTTGGTCCTGGGCGTGACCTAAAACTGCACCCTGGTGGGGAAGGGTAGCTTGGTGGGGCTCCTGGGGTCCGGGAGTCCCTAGGAAATGCCAGGCCAGATACCTCCCCAGTGAAAGGTGAGGAGGGACACCTTAACCCCAGCCCCCATTTTCAGGTGGGCTTTGGAGGCAGTAGTGGGGACAGGCATGGCTGCGGCCACCTGAGCCCATGAGGGGGATGTAAGACCCCGGGGAGTGAGTGTAGTGGGGCCAGGCTCAGCAAACGGAGTGCCACCTGAGCCTATGGGGATGGTCGACCCCGAGGCCCTGAGAGAGAGGGCGGTGTAGTGAGGCCCAAGGGAAGAGAGAGGAGTTGTGTGGCCATGCATAGACTAGGGCTGAATGGGAGTAGGCCTGAAGGGTTGTGTGTGAGGTTGGGCTGAGTAGGGATGAACAGGAGTAGACCTGAAGGTCAGTCCCAGGGGTGCGTTGAATAGGGCTGAAGTGGGAGTAAGCCTGAAGAGCAGTGCAAGGGCCAGCCCTGTGAGTAGCTGATTGGAAAAATGATGTGAAGACCCCAGGGTGGGGCATGGTGCAGAGGTCCTACAGTGGGCACGGTAGGAACCCCATGTGAGGGGAGTAGGCCAAGGTAGGTCTTCAGATGCCTGAGACTGTAGTTGGGCCAGAGGCCGAGTATGGGGCTCAGGCAGAGCGTGAGGAGGAGTCCTGACCCCGGTAAGTCCTGCACTGCTAGGAGGCTGAGTGTGGGTCAAAAGTAAGACCGATAGTTGAGCACAATGACCTGCTGCTCCGGTGGCGGGGTGGGGAGAGTGAGAGTTTCCATGAGACCCTGGAGCACCAGTTGTGGTGTGGGTTAAGAACATCATGTGGATGCCATCTGAGAGGCATGGGCTGTGGCGCAGGGGAGGTCGGAGCCACAGATAGCACCCCCTGGCATCAGGGCATGTAATAGGCAGTCTCCCACATTTACCATCCATTTATGGGAACACCAAAGTCGTGGCAAGTGAGACAGAGCAGATTGCCCCAGAGAGGCAGGTGGGCAGGACGGCATGGGACCCAGCCCCTAGCTTGCCCCCTGTTACAAACCTAAAATACAGTAGTTCCCATAAACAAGAAGAGGGAAGTATTGAACCACTTAACTTAGCTCTGCATATGTCCACAACCTCACCTCTACAATTAAATGAAAAGATGCTGCCCCTTTCCTTTAATTTAAAATGTTTATCTCTTATTTTTATAAAACATAATAAATAAAAAATGGATCTTTTCCCATCATTGATGCTATATTTTATAAAAAGCTGCAACAAATTGATACATTTCTGCATCATCCAATAGCATAATTTTATGTTTTAAGTATCATTAAAACAAAACGTTGAAACATACACATTCATAAATATATAAAACTATGTGAAATGCTTGCAGTTAAATGAGAAAACACATGAAGCTTGCCTTTCTGAGTGATGTTGCAGATTTGACAGACCATCTTTGTCCAATGATTTAAAGCTCAGAAACTTGGTCTCTTTTTTGAGAAAACATAATGCAGGTTGTGAATTTTTTAGTGAAGTCATTTGAAATTGTTATACTGAGAAACTCACTGGTTTCTGCTTGAGCTTGATTTGAGATTTTTGGATTAGTTCTAACCTGAAGCTCAAAGTGAACTTCAGAGTAGAAGACCTATGTGAATCTTGACTAATGAAAATGTTTGTGCAAAAAAAAAGACTTGTAAAGTGACTTCTTCACGGTTTGTGTGACCAGACTCTGGAATAGATTCGGGGGAGGGGGGAGGGTGCAGGCCCCTACTCTGGAGATCTTCAAAAGGAGACTGGACACCTACCTTGTTGGGGTTATTTGACCCGAGCAGTCTTTCTTGCCCAGAGCAGGGGGGCTGGACTTGATCTCACAAGGTCCCTTCCAGCCCTAAACTTCTATGAGTCTACCAATTTATCACAGCATGTTAAACTTGACATCATCATATTTTGGAGCTTCATAGGGATGAGCGTTACACACAAAGACGTTGTCTATGTGTATGAAGAAAAAACAAGGTGATAATGCAAATGAATAGCGTAGCTTTGTTTTGTTTTTCGGTCTGTAAGAATCAACATCTTCAATTTTAAATAGTAAAAGGTCTTTTCATTGGCCATTAGAAGCTGGTGTAGGACATGTGTTCCTCAAGGAACTTCCTTCTCACAATAGAAGAAAGTTTTTTCCCAGAATATAACTTGGTGAATTCCTCTGTTATTTCTGTGACTGACTTCCCTTTTGTCTCTGGAAGGAAGAGGTAGACGAAGATCACTGAGCCGACAAGAACCCCCATGAATATGAGGAAACAGAAGGGACCAAGGCTTTCCTAGAAACAGAAATTAAAAATGAGAAATAAGTATATTTTATTTTGCCTTTCCCTTCATTGCCCCTTAATGTGGGCATTGTCTCTTGGAAATTAGTGCAGTGGACATTTTAAGGTGGTTCTAAACACTTTGATTGGAAACATGTATTGGAAATGTATTGCTGTCCTACTGAGCCCAGCCAAAGTTGCAATAGGGACTTCAATTAGGAAACAATCAGAAACTGATTTGAATGAAATCACTTACAACAATGAATGGGAAAATCATTCCAACCACAAAAAGCCCCGCCCAGTTGAGGCACCCTCCAATCACAAAGGCTGAGGATCGAGATGATTGGTTGAATATTTCAACCATGATGGACATGGTGGCTCCACCTGAAGAATAAATAATAACAAGGAAGAAAAAGTTCAGCAACATTCTTTTTTCCCCCCTTTTCCATTTCCTTCCTGATGAAAAGACAAAACAGAGTTATTTTAGTAACTTCAGGGCCTGATTTGAGAAGGCATAGGGCCATAGGCCTCTATGGTTGCTAAACATTGTAATCTAATATTCTTTGTTAATTAGGACACTGCTAAATAATCAGTCCCAGTTTCTTTCTTTATTAACCCCTTTCTTAATTAATCTCTGCTCTATTCCAGTGTTAATGGGTGCCTATATACATGCGCTCTGATGCGTTTCAATTAGAATGCTCTAGCATTGCCACAGCATCATGTGTATAAGCCCCTGCGAGCCAAAAAATGGCTGCTGGGGTTTTATAACTAAAGCTCATTGTATGAGCTTTAGTTAAGGCATCCCATGGCCATTTTTAAATGTGTGGGGGCTTAATACATGTGATGCTGTAGTTTTTTAATTAGAGCTCTCTCCGGGAACCCGTCTAATTAAAAGACCCTCTCCTCCCCAGCATGTGTATAGGCACCCAATGTGCTGAGGTAAAAAGGCCTCCCTTTATAGGGGTATACCTGTATAATTTGACTTGATCTCTGTGTATGTATCTCTTTCATTCCCCACAGTCCAATGTTATTCTACTCAGGTAATATGCACCATTGGATAGTTTGTTCCTGTACATATTGATCTACTCACATGGTCCAATTCCAAAGAAGAAAACAAATAGGAAGATCAGAATGACACTGCAAAAGGACATCCAGTTATATTTATTCTAGAGGGAAAAACACAGTGAGAGCAGATGTTTGCTAATAACACAGTGGGAATGCAAGCTTCCTTGATTTCTCTTACAGAGCTCTCAAATAGCAAAGGTTTAAATGTGTGAGAGTCCACAGGTATATCATAGATAACTCTCACTGTACAGCAGCATTTTTGCTGGTGGATGGAGGTACTGAGTACTCATTTAAAATGTAGGACACTTCTTTCTGGACGGCACACAACAGATTAACTTTGAGGAGGTTCATAACTTGTGAAACAAAGGTGCTGGTAAAGATGCGGAGTTAAAGCTGTGGTTTATGCTTGTAGGATGTTGGAAGGGGTTAGGTAGAGCTGATAAAGTTAGATTGGGACACTAATCACAAGAAGGGTAACAAAAAAGTTTGAAATCTAGGAAAGAAGTTGTAACAAAGAAAGGAAACAAAAGAGCACAGGAGGCTGACTGCGAGTGTTGTTACAGAGGGACTTGTTGGATCTGCTACCATGCTGACCAAACTTCATTTTGTGAAATCAAAAAATGTTTGTTCTGTAACATACAGCTTTTCTCTGTACAAGGGAAAGTCAGCAATAAAATGGATCTTCAAAAGGACCCATTAAAATTTTCTTCCTTACCTGCAGGGAGAGAGTTATTGTGAGAAGAACCAGCACTAAAGCCATCATTGCATAGCCTTTCCACAGGAGTGTCTTCCTGCCAAACCGCTCAATGGTAATGGTCTGGAGGGCAAAACATACAGTGACTTCACTATAAACATGGCAAATTCTGAGTAACTCTCAGTGTGATGTGACTTACACAGAGTATAGTGGAGAAGAGTTCACAGAGTCCAACACCCAGTGATATATATGGGATACGGCCTTCTTCAAACCCAGCTGTGCACAGCACCTCAAATGTGTAGAAGTAGACCTATAAAATCCAATGAAAGAAAAAAAAAGGCACTTTACACCACAGTCTCTGGTGAGGTATATTATTACTGAGAAAAGAGGTGGGCATCAGATAAATGCAATGAATTTTACCAGTGATCAATCCTGTACTTTTTTGCCTCTTGCTAGAGTTCTTAATAAGAGGTATTTCTACATATTTGTGATACGTTTGATCTTTTGACAGGTCCAGAATGTAACTGTTATCTTTTATCAACAAAATAGATAAAGCATGGGCAATGGTATCTGAAAATGTCTACACACTGGTCTGCCAACAAAACACAACTGTAGTGTGGAGGGATCATCCTTTTATTTACATTTATTGGGCCAAGATTTCACCTGGTGAAAATCAAAATAAGTCTACTGATTTCAGTGGAGTTATGCTGATTTTTCACCAGTTGAATACCTGATCCACTAATGTCAAAATCTGGATTTTAATATATGGGGATTTTGTGGGTATGTTTACACTGGACTATTTTGACTGCTTTTTACTGTTGCCACCACCTTTTTCAGCTCCATTATAAAACTGCTGTACACAAATGGCTAGTTCCTGGTAGCACTGTAGCCTTGATATGTAGATTGGTAATGGGTTAGGTTAGGTGTCATGGTCCTTATATTGGCATCTGCTCATTGGAAGTAGCAGTCCCATTCATGAGTGGAACTGAAATGATGGTAGAGCAAGTGGAGAACTTAAGCAGGGTGACTGTATGGGACAACATGAGGACACTGCCTGCCTGCCTGCTTGCCTAGGATTACATTGGTTTCACTCTTCCCAGTTTCACTCCGAAGTCACTGACACATTGGCACAGATCTAATCCTACAGGAGGGCTTGGAAAATGGTGAGGATAAAAATCAGATGTAAATAAAGTAGGCAAAGAATGAAACAGATGGAAAGGAACTGACAGAAAAAATGGGAGCCACATCAGTTACCCAGTGATGTATATAGCTATAACATCATAGTGGATGCTGCTCTTATCATAAAGATGATTTGACTGTATTGCACAACTCAGAAGTATTATATCTTAAAGCTATCAAATGAATTGCTTTATACAGCTTTTGAGAAACCAGGAAGGAGTGGGAGAGAAGATGAATGGTACACACGGCTCCTATCTGGCCAAGACTTTTCAGTTTTTGGCAGCTTGTCCCTGCACTAGGGACCTCAGGCTGCATAGAAGCACTGCCAACAGGTCAGAATGGAGTAACAGTACACAGAACCACACATTACTTCAGTATGGATGGCTGTTAGCATCTTGCTGGCCTGTTGCCATCCTGGGGACCTGAACGCTGTTATCAGCTGCAGTGGGACATCACAGGTTGTCTCCAGCAATAATTCAGGAGAAATATCCTTAAGCAAGCAAAGTCTCACAAAGATTACCCTTTATAGTCCCTATATACCCTTTCCTAATAATCCCTAACATTTACATAGTGTTTTTCAGATTTGAAATGCTATGGTTACATTAATTAATTAGTCTTAAAAGATTCTTGTTTGAGAGGTGAGTACGTATTATATACTTCATTCTATAGTGAGGGAAGATAAAACAGAGGCACAATGAGGCTCAAAGCTGTACAGTGAATTAGTTGCTGAGCAAGGCATAGAGCTAAAATCCTCATGATTTTCACCCAACTGAAGTCCTGTGGGGGACACTGCAGTGTTTGTGTAGGGCCTTCCCCATCGATGCCTGTGAAGAACACTAACATTTTAAGTAGGGAAGATACCTAACTGCATTGATGCCACAAAGCTGCATCACTATGATAACAGTAACCAAAATGTACAACTGCCAGCGCAAGGATGGGTCTTTCATGACTTGCAGGATGCTCATAGATTTGATGCTTTTAGTTGCAGCCTTTTCTTCCTTCATATCATTGAGTTCTGCTTGATGGTCCATCTCACCCCACAGTTTATCCATGGCTGTGTGAAAGAAAGGGTAAAACATGATAATTCCCCTGTTCACCCATCCTTCTATTTTTAGTTGATACAATCATGTTTTTAGAATATTCACTAATTGTTCACTTCACATAGTAGCTCCATCAGTCATTGAGTGAAGCAGTCTCTCAGACATGTGAATTATAATTACCATGCCTTATAATTCTGATTGTCGAAGGGTATGGACCCATTTCAAAATGGGAACATTTCAAAAGGGCAGCAGCTGTTACATTATAATTGTTACATGGGAACAATACAAATGCAGCAAAACCACTCCAACTTTAACACTACTTTATCCCATATATGTGTCCATATCGATGTGCTGCACATGTAGGTGTCCATGCCCTGAAATGCAGAGCACCCACAATCACAGTTGAAATCAGTGAAAGTAATAGGTGCATCTTAACAAATTAGATCATGTTATTTGCCAGTCATTAGTATTTAGCACGTTACATGTCTCAGCACTGCATTCTGTCTATATTTTCCTTTTTTTTATTCCTGCTGTCTATATGGCCCTCATCACTGTAGAATCTAAATGTGTTCCTATTATTTAAACATAGTCATTTCAGTAAGTCTCCCTTGCTTTCCCTATAGGAGAAGCATCTTGATTATCTTATAGGGCTTTATACGTATCTGTTTATATATAGCTAGAGGCAGATACATGAATATATATGCATTGATACATATGCATGTATGACTATACATATTGCATACTTATCTGCATTTACTTCTATGTTACTGGGCATGTTGTGTGCCAAGAACTTGCTGAAAGAAAGCTGAATTTAACAAATGGGTTTTGCATTTAATATCAGGGTGGTGAGGTCATTGTTGGTTACTTCTGACTCATGGGGATGAATTCCCTATTCTGTGACCATCTTCTATGAATACTTGATCTCTTGGATTCATGAGCTTCTACCCATAGTTTCACATTTGTATTGTTTCACTGGAACATAGCTGTCGTATGGGGTCAGAGTAAGAGAGCTGGTTTCCCAAGGAGGTCAGCTCAATCACACAGAGGGGTTTCAATATCAGGATGCAGACCTTGAATTGGACTCTGTACACAATATAGAGCCAGAAGAGACAGTCGAGTACTGGAGTAATATGACCTGTGCTGTGAAGCAGACCAACTGCTGAGGACTGCACTTTGTATAAGACATGTGGCTTATACCTCGATTTTAATGGATTACAATTGTCATACTCGTTTGTCACAAACTCTTGGATCACCATGAGCAGATCTCTCTTAGACAGAACTAAAATAAAGCAGAGAGGTAAAATCTGCTCATATTACCCTTCAAGCAGCCTTCCTCATCATCCTTTTGAATTAACAGGTAGGGTGGAGATTCAGGAAAGAATGGCAGAGTGACCAGCTGGATCAGTGCTGCAATTCCGATGAAAGCCATCAGCAATGGCCACAAGGATTCAGTTCCTAGAAATTCACTAGAGAGTACAAGGAAAACATGCATATGATAAGACTTTAATTCAGTTTGTTTTTGGAGAGAGAGAGAGAAGAAAATACAGAAAAATGAGTAAATAAGTGAAATATACATTTAGTTTACCTTAGTCCCATAATTTGCCCTAAGACTTTTCCTAGTGACCAAAAGAAACCAGCAGAAGAGTTTGCAAATCCTCGCAGTTTCTTGGGGGAAACTTCTCCTGCATACTGAGGGTGTATAGTCATACAGAAGCCTTGAATAGAGATGAAAGTTGGGAAGGAGGTGAAGAGACAGGATAATTATATTCATAAGGAATAAAATATCTTTCTAAATTAGGGCCAGATCCTATTACACACCTCTTAGGTGCCTAAATAGTTCTTGGGCATCTCACTAGGGTCTTATTTTACTTGCTTGGGTCCTTGAAAAACTGTTAGCACATCTACTTTTATAATGTGCCTTTGCCTTTTCTCTGCGAAAGTAACTTAATTCCTCATCAGTAGAACTGGCATAATTGATACATACATTTGTTTTGAAGCCAGGATGGGATCAGCAAATCTTGCCACATTTCCAAAATGGGGTATTTGTATATTCTATAATCTTAAACTATTCTTAGGGAAGGGAAACCTTAATATGTAAGAAGATGGAGCATTTTGAAACAGGGAGGGGAGTGTATATGAAGGGTAATGTGATGTCCTACCTGCACTGATGCCATAGAAGAAGCGTCCACACAGAACCATCTCAAAGGACTTGGCCATCTTACTGAAGCCCATGAGAAATGCAGTTGCTATGATAAGTAGATTGTTGCACATTAGGCATTTCTTTCTGTAACAGTGCACAAGAAACTTGTATGAAAGTGCTTGTCAATGTATATCACTTCTTATGCCATCTGCTAATGTCTTCCTTTTATTGTGTTGTCCAATCCAAGATTATCATTGAGTCCAAAAGTGTGGGGTTCATTAAGTCCTTTTATGTTGCATGGCTTAAATTGGTTTTATGTTACATGGTTTAAGTAGATGCCAAGGGTAGTAGAAGGTCCTCTTTCTGTGCTGCCCATGTGTGAGCACATTATTCAGATAAAAGGAAAAACATAGTGAATGTAATTATCCAGTTGCACTTTGGCCTAGACACAGTGGCCAAGCATTCCTAGCTTGTGAAAACTGCAATTGGATCTTTGACAAAATCAATCAACCCTGACTTTAGTTATGCATTTTATCTAAAAGAAGCAATATAGGGTTCCACAACACTACTCTCCAGTACTGATTTGGGGTCCCTTAAATAAAGGACTAGAACTAAAATTGAGTAGAAAGTGGTGATTCTGTGCTGGTCCAGCAAGGCATCAGCATTCTTGATACTGTATTAGATAATGCATTAGATTTTGCTACACATGTCTACGCTGTATGGGTTTATCAACATGTATTTGGTGATAGAACCACAGAAAATTAGGGTTGGAAGGGACCTCAGGAGGTCATTTCATCTAGTTCAATGTCCTGCTTAAAGCAGGACCATCCTTAACTATATCATCCCAGCCAAGGAAAGCTTTGTCTGTCCAGGTCTTAAAAAACTCCAAAGATGGAAATTCCACAACTTCTCAGGGTAAACTGTTCCAGTGTTTTACTACCATCCTAGTGAGAAAGTTCTTCCTAATATCTAACCTAAACTTCCCTTGCTGCAACTTGAGACCATTACTCCTTGTTCTATCACCTGCCACCACTGAGAACAGTCCAGCTCCATCCTATATGGAACAGGTAGTTGAAGGCTGCTATTAAATCCCCTCTCAGTCTTTCTCTTCTTCAGACTAAATAAGCCCAGTTCCCTCAGCCTTTTCTCATCAGTCACATGTCTCTGCCCCCTAACCATTTTTGTTGCCCTTTACTGGACTCTCTCCAACTTGTCCACATCCTTTTTGTAGTGGGGGGTCCCAAAACTGGACATAGTACTGCAGATGTGGCCTCACTAGTGCTGAATAAAGGGGAATAATCATTTCCCTTGATCTGTTGGCAATACTCTTACCAGAGCTGCCCTGTATGCTGTTAGCCTTCTTGGCAACAAGGGCATACTGTTGGCTCATATTCAGGTTATTGTCCACTGTAATCCCCAGGTCATTTTCTGCAAGGCTGCTGCCTAGCCAGTCAGTCCCCAGCCTATACCATTACACATTACATGGGATTGTTCTGTCTTAAGTGCAGGACTTTGCACTTATCCTTACTGGACCTCATGATATTTCTTTTGGTCCAATCCTCTAATTTGCCTAGGTGTCTCTGAATCTTAGCTCTACCCTCCAGCATATCTACTGCTCCCACCAGCTTGGTTTCATTGCAGACTTGTCGAGGGTGCACTCTATGCCATCTTTCAGGTCATTGATGAAGACACTGAACAAAACTGGCCCAAGGACACCCCTGGGGCACTCCACTTGATACCAGCTGCCAACTAGTCATCAAGAAATTGACTACTACCCTCTGAGCCCGATGCTCCAGCCAGTTTTCTATCCACCTTACAGTCCATTCATCCAACCCACACTTCCTTAGCTTGCCTGCAAGGATGTTGTGGGAGACCACATCAAAAGTCTTGCTAAAGTCAAGGTATACCATATCCACTGGTCTACCCGCATCCAGAGTGAGTCATTTCATCATAGAAGGCAATCAGGTTGGTCAGGCATGACTTGCCCCTGATGAATCCATGCTGACTGTTCCTAATCACCTTTTTCTCCTCCAAGTGCTTAGAAATGTATTCCTTGCGGAATTGCTCCATGACTTTACCAACAACTGAGGTGAGGCTGACAAGTCTGTAATTCCCTGGATCCTCCTTTTTCCCTTTCTTAAATATGGGCACTATATTTGCCCTTTTCCAGTCATCTGGGACCTCTCCCAATTGCCATGAGTATTGAAAGATGATGGCCAGTGGCTCTGCAGTCATGTCAGCCAACTTCCTTAGCACCCATGAGTGCATCCCATCCAGCCCCATGGATTTGTATATGTCCAGCTTTTTAAATAGTCCCTAACCTGTTCCTTTGCCACTGTTGGCTACTCACCTCCTTCCCAAACTGTGCTGCCAGAGATATGACTTAATTCTGGCTTAGAGAAACAGGTGGTAGAAATGGCTGCAGGGCAGAGCTGAGAAATGTAGTAATACAGACAGTGAAGTAGTAGTGAGCTGATGAGAGCAGGCAAGCAGAGCCCTGGAAGGAGCAAGAGAGGCTGGGGGATTATATCAGGGAGAAGCAGATGCAGCATCCCCTGAGAGGAGTGGTTGCCATCAAAGGATATTTATTATAGATTAGAGAAGAACACCCTTGAATCTGAGAGGAGTGTTGGAGCTCTACTCAGGTAGTCGGTTTGAACCAGTGTAGATAGTAAAATCTGCCAATTGTAGAGAATGACTGAAATATTTAAGTCCTTTGCACAAAGACTCAAAGTCAAAAGACTATGAAACCTAAGTCACCACTTCCCTCTGTCCCTTTGAGCAAGTCTCTAAAGCCCTCTATGCCTCATTATTCCATTTTAGAAATAGGGCAGTGGATAATAATAATAGTTACTTAGCTTTCTTGTAGAACACTATGAAGATTAATTTATTAATATTAATATTTTTCCACTTTGGAAGTAAAAAATTCTGTATTGATGCTAAGTATCATTATCTGTTTGGGTACTTAATTTTATAGATCCTGATGAACCAATTCAGAGGTTCAGGGTTAATACTAATCAAGGTTTTGGTCATCAGATTATTTTATTGAGTTCTTGTCAGTTTAATGTGAATGTGCTATTCCTGCCTGGATTCATCATGGGGTTTTTTCCACTATGAAAAATGATAATGCTTAGGGCTCAAATAGCTGTTTCCCAAACATGGCAGGTAAGGCAAATACATAGGAGTTATATGATACTGGTTTTTTTCACTTTCTACCAAGTTCCTTTTGTTTACAAGTTTTGATCAACAAACTCTTTTCAAATATACACACTTTCCATATTTAGTAGTTAGGTATCCACTGCAAAGACACCCCAGCAGTCCGCCAATGCCGTAGATTGATACAATGAATGACCATAGCAACATAAGGGTCTTCTGGCGGAGAGGAGAGCCATATCGTTCCAACCAAGTTTCATTGATAAATCTCTTAACATGCTGGTAAGAAAAAGAGGATGTCATTATCAATAATCAGGAGGACAGTGCATTGCTCACAGTAATTCTTCATTTAATTAATAGATTTTTAAAATTTCTCAGCTGTTGCTAGTTACTTTATAAGATATGTTACAAATGAGTGATCTGTTAGTGAATAGCTGTTTAGCAAAAAAAGGTCCCCAGTGGCTGGCACCAAAGTTTTCTTGCAATTTCTGCTCCTTGTGTCCTATAATATCTTCTTTGCAATTCTCTTAAAATTTTGTACACTGGAATGTTGTATAAGCCTAAAGAAAGTCAAGGTATTGTACATCTATGGTAGAATTAATAAGTGATATTGCAAGAAATACTTTTTGTTTTTCCTAAAAAGAATGAAAGAATGTATTACCTCCAAAACTCAGGCTAATATTGCAGTGCTGACTTGAGCCAGATATAACATGCACTTTTTCTGTAAAGTGTTGCCCATACAGCTCAATATGTGCTTGATATATTAGTCTTAAATTCTCTTATATTGCCAAACCTGTCAGATAGTGATGGATGAGACATTTTTGATTTAAGCAGTGTTTAAATTGAGGTAAAAGGCTAATGAACAGACATACCGTAATCTTAATCCTTGGAAAATCCATATGCAGTATAAAATTAATGAAAATACACCCTCACACTGACATTTATTTCTGTAAATAAATTCCCAGAATTAAAAACACTGATAAATGATTACCATGTATATACATATATTCACGTGACATTTGTATGTCCCTTCCTTCCCCTCTACATTGGAAGGGACAATATAGACTGCAATGACTGTTATTAAGAAATCTCTATCCCAGCACCCAGAATCCTAAAGTATTCAAGTATTGTCATCATTTGTATTAATTTATTTTTTCTCTGAATTTGAACTTTGATGTGGTCTCCCTTTTAATACTAAACCAAAGCCTTATCCAGTATAATGTCCTTCTTGGATTTCCTTATTTTTTCAAAACGGTTATGATGGTCTCTTTGCTGTTTGGCCCAGGGGGCTGCTTAGTTTAATACTGTAGCAGGGCATTGTTGGTGCCTGTCACTTTATGAGCGGAGTCAAGCAGCCAGCAGGTGCTTGATTGTGGCCGCCTTTTTAGATCTTTGGCCGCCTGTATAAACACAGCAGGTCACCGCTGGCAGGCCAGGCAGTAACATTGCCTGGCTGCAAGACTCCATGGAACATCCTGGAGGTAAGGGCAGGAGCTGTAGAGGATCGTTTGGAGGCTCCTGGGCATGACCTAAAACTGCACCCTGCCAGGAGTGCGTGGCTTGGTGGGGCTCTCAGTGGCGCAGGAGCCCCCAGGAAATGCCAGGCTAGTTACCACCCTGGTCAAAGGTGGGTAGGGGCACCTTAACCCCAGCCCTCACCTTTGGGGGTGTCATTTAATATCAGAGGTAGTTGGGGCCAGGCATGGCTACAGCCACCTGAGCCCACTGGGGAGGGAAGCCCCATGGCTCCAGTGAGGGGGGTGATGTGAGATGTGGAGCCCCAGTGAGGGGGCGGCCCCAGTGAGGGGTGCGGTGTGGAGCCCCAGTGAGGGGGCAGAGATGAGGAGGAACCATATGTGAGGGGAGTAGGCCAAGGTATGTCTTTGGACACCTGAGACTGTAGTTTGGGCTGGAGGCCGAATAAGGGGGCTCAGTCAGAGAGATAGGGGAGAGTCCTGACCCTGGGAAGTCCTCCACTGCTGGGAGGCCGAGTGTGGGTCAAAAGTAAGACCTGTAGTCGAGCACAATGACCTGCTGCTCCGGGGAGGAGTGAGAGTCCCCATGAGACCCTGGAGCACCAGTCATGGTGTGGGTTAAGAATGCCCCAGTGAGGGGGGGCAGAGAGGAGGGGCCCTGGCAAGGAGGCAGGTGTGGAACCCCAGTGACGGGGAAACTAGACAGCATGTCCAAATGTATAGAGTTGCTCTGGGAGGGGCCAGGGCAAGCTTAGACCCCATCGAGTAATTGGCTGGCCACTACCCCGGTGAGGGTTGTTGGAGAGGCCCAAAAGTTGGTACGTCTGCCACCCAAGGTATGAGCTAGCTAAAGCTTATGGCTGAAGGGGCCCCCTCCAAGAGGGAGCAAGGCAGTACAAGTTGTCAACATGTGAAAGAGACCCTGTGAGGGAGGGTGGAGTGTGAGAGGCCCTAGTGAGAGGAGAGCAGTATGAATGTGTGTGTGTCTGAGGCCTGGCAATGAGGCCTTAGCTTGGCCTGGCTGTAGGCCAGGAGCATTATCATCTGGATACCATCTGTGAGACTTGGGCTGTGGTGTAGGGGAGGAATGGAGCCACAGATAGTGCCCCCTGGCATCAGGGGAAGAATGGACAGCTTCCTGCCTTAATTGAAATGTAATTAATTAACAACAAGGCATGGCAGGAGAGACAGGTGGGTGGCGTGCCCAAAGGCAGGTAGGAAGACTAGCACTGTGGCTAGTTGGGGACCCCCACTTTGCCACAAATACACTTACTGAACATACTAAACAAATGAACAGTGTGCCCTGGGGCATATCTGACAGGAGTGCTCCGCAAAATATGAGATGTTAATCCTGCTGGAAGGAGGATATGTATACACCACGTATTGTTATGCAGCATTCTTAAAGGAAGAGGAACTCATGTGTAGAGGGATTAGAGAAACAGTTGTCTTTTTGGACTTGAGGCATCTCTCATTAGACTCAAGGCATCCTCTATTACTTCTGTGAATTGAGTGGCACCCAATTTAAAAAACTAATTTATGTATTACAATACGCATCTCTGTGCAGAGGACCAGGCAGTGAGTGTGAGGAATTGGCCAGGCAGGGGCAAGTCTGAGCTTGCATTTATCTTCTCAGCTTATCTGCTTATCTCCTCACAGCTCCCAGTACCCTTCAAATGATCTGGCAGCACCCCAGGGTGTGACATCATGGTTGAGAATCCCTGGATCAGAATGCATATGGAAAATAAATTCAAACGAGGAGGTCCTACTGAGTTTAGAAGGAAAGACTCGGATTTTCGAGACGAAAAGACTCGGCCCCAGTCTATGCCTTATCTCATTCATTAATGCCATCTACAGGAATATGCTGGCCAAGCTACCTTTTTAACATCATCTGCACCACTTCTTCTGAGTCAATTTATGTTATAGCATTGAGTGGAATAAAAGGTATAGCTTTGTAATGAAGAGAAAAGCAGGATGTTCAAAATGTTCTTCAAGGCCACAGTTGGAAAGGGAATGATCCTGATCTTCCCAGTCCTGTGGCCATTCAGAAATTCTCCCGAGATACTATTTTATGAAGATGAGATTGTCCATTTTGCCCTCATTTTCTTCCTATGAATCTATTATGGCATTTAATACTACAAACTACCTTGGTAATAGGTAACTGAGGAGTAATGGGTAATGGATCCTGAGGAGACCCTGAAAGCTCCCAGAGGCATTTTTTTAAATCTGCCTATCACTGTAGAGAAGATTAGAGCCATGATCTAGCTCCATCCATCCATGCCCATTTGAGATCTCTAGGAATGTGGTTTGCTGGATAGACCTCGTCTTTGTGTTCAGATAGTGCCATGCATTTGTGGGTTCTCCTGTTGGTGTCTATTAGGGCTGTGCGAAGCCTCGGGTGGTGATTCGATTTGGAGGGGATTCTGCCTGATTCAGTGGCCAAATCTCCAAATCAGAATCGAATCAGGGGACCAATTTAAGGTCTGAATCGATTCTGGAGATATGGAGAGCTTTGAAAAGATTCGCAGAGCTTTGATGATTCGGGCAGTCCCCGGTGGCTGCAGCAGGGAGCTGCAGTTGACTCCAAACTGGTAAGTACTAGGGGCAGGGGAGGGGAGTCTGGGGCAGGGGACCATGGGGGGACCCCTGGCAGGGGGATCCCTGCTGCCCCATGCTGCATGTGGGGCTCTGCCCCCTCTGTTCCCCTGGCCCCACCACAGGTGCCCCACCTGGACCAGCTCTGGCCCTTTAAGAAAATAAAAGCCAAGAAAAGCCCCAGAACTCACTGCTCCTGGTGTGGCCTTGGGGCTTCAGGGGCTTGTGCAAAACCCCCCATGTGGTGCAGGGCAGTAGAGGGCAGTGGGGATCACAACCCCCCCCCCCCCCTGCTGGCAGGAGCAGTGAGTCCTGGGGTTTTTTCGGGGGTTTTTTTTCTTAAACAGCCAGAGCTGGCCAGGGCGGGGCAACCATGGCATGGCTGGGGGAGCGAGGGAGGGGTCGGGGCGCTTGTGCAGCACCCTCCATGCAGAGTAGGGCAGTGAGAGACAGCAGGGTTTTTTTTTTTTTCTTCACAAGTGATGGGAGCTGGGGCAGCCATTGCCAGGCTGGGAGAGGGGTGGGGGATTGGCCTGGCCTGGCTGATTCAGAGATTTGGCCAAATCAAATTGGGACAGTGATTTGAATCACCAAATCGAATCACTGTCCCCTGATTTGGCCGAATCCAAAGTGAATACTAGCCACTTTGCACAGGCCTATTGTCTATTAAATGAAAAGCTTAATTTGCCTGTTACCTCTGCATACTATTCATTAGGCCTGTGTGAGTAGGCAGCTATTCGATCTGGCTTCGGATCCGGCCACTTTGGATGGCCGTGATCCGATCCAGAGCTCCAGACCGGGTTCCCACTTCGATCTGGCCGAAGCCGCTCTGAAGCTTCTGAGCTACCTCGGAGATCCGGCCATAGGGTATAATGGGGAATCAATGAAATATCTATATCTTTGTTGTTTTTTGTCTGATTTGGATGAAACTTGCAGAGGTGGTAGCCCCTGGTGAGGCCACGAAGCCTGCCAAGTTTCAAGATCAGTGCAGGGGTTTGGGGGGAACTGTACCTCAAGTTGCTGACAGGCAAAATTCGTGACACAGATGACCCTGTGTGTGTTAAGGCACAGTGGGCTGAAAACTGCAGGGGTGGTGGCCCCTGCTCAGGCCACAAAGCCTGCCAAGTTTCAAGGAGATCAGTGCAGGGGCTTGGGGGAAACTGCACCTCAAGCTGCAGACAAGCAAAACTCATGACACTGCGTGTGTTAAGGCGCAGCAGGATGAAAGCTGCAGGGATGGTAGCCCCTGCTGAGGCCATGAAGCCTGCCAGCTGTCAAGGAGATGGGTGCAGGGGTTCTGGGTTTTGGGGCCCTGCACCTCTAGCTGCTGACAGACAAAACTTGTGACATGGGTGCTTGTGCAATTGACTGTCTCTATCTTGGGGCAGCTGATTGTCTGTATTGATTATTTCCTCTCCTTAGTCTGTCTGTGGTTTTGTAGGTGTTAATCCATGCTCGTTAAGTCATTATGTAGTAGCTAAGTACTGTGTATTGAGCTGGTCCCTGAGTGAAACATAGACCACCTTCCCAGCAACATACTCCTAGCCACCATGGACGTTACCAGCCTATGTACCAACATCCCGCACCAG